GTACTGACTTCTGGAGTTCACACACAAGCAGAAGTGACAAAGTTGAATGTTAGCTGCCCTTCAAAGCTGAGCAATTCAGGGTATTTAAAAACCACAGGGAATCCAGGGTGATGACTGGCTTCTTTGGCCCCAACATAAAAAGAAGATGTAATTCAGAATGAAGAGCAGGAATAGAAATAGTTTGTTTATCCTTGGCAAGAACAAACACAACCCCCGTAACTTATAACTACAGGATGCCAGAGACTATTAGGAAAGGAAGGACTGAGATTTTATGCCTAAACTACACAAAACTAGGTTTAGATGAGATTGACTATAAAGGATGAAGACCATTGTCTCACTTTTTCCTAAAACAATTAGAGAAACAAAACACACACACAGGCAACCAGAAGTAAACGTCCTGTTCTTCTTATGAGCATTTCTAGTTTCCTGGGGTAAAGAATTATATGCATTTAAACATACATACACATACAGACTGGTAACACAGATTCAGAGGGACATTGGTCTGTTACTTGGTGGAAAAGCTAGGAAAGGGTGTAAACTGCAATGGGGCACCAGATCCTAAGTATCAAACCTTCTCACCTAACCTCACGCCGCTTTAACACACCACATTCTCTTGCCTCTGTTGTTACTGTTAAGTGCCATCAAGTTATTTTCTACCCATAGTGAGCCTGACAAAGGGTGAAGAAAAATATCTGATAAAGAGCACTGCATCCCCTTTCTTTTTCTTGGTCTGCTTCCCTGACTGGAAGGCCAACCAATCATGTACTTGTATATATACGCATGTCCGGAGTAATGTAAACACAGTTTACACTCAACTATTGATCTAAACCACCACACGTCTGTCAGTTTAGCATACTGTGGTGGCTTGTGAATTGCTGTGATTCTGGAAGCTATGCCACCTGTATTTTAAATACCAGCAGGATAACCCATGGTCACCCATTGAAATCTTTCAAGAAAGTGAGGCGGCACAGGAGGCATTCACTCATCTATGCCAAGGAATCTGGAAGACAACTGTCTGGCCGACTGATTGGAAAAGATCCATATCTGTGCCCATCCCAAAGAGAGGTGACCCAACAGAATGCAGAAATCATTGGACAATATATTTGATATCTCATGTGAGTTAAGTTTTACTAAAGGTAATACAGAAACAGCTGGAAGCATACATTGACAGAGAACTTCCAGAGGTTCAAGCCAGACTCAGAAGAGGTCGTGGAATGATGGAAATCATTGCTTATGTCCGATGGATCTTGGCTGAAAGCAGAGAATATCAGAAAGCTGTTTACCTGTGCTTTATTGACTACGCAAAGTCTTTCGAATATGTAGCTCATGACAAGCTATGGACAACATTGATAAGTATGAGTATTCCAGAACACTTAATTGTGCTAATGAGGAATCTGCACATGGACCAAGAGGCAGTTATTTGAACACAACATGGGGATACTGGTTTAAAACTAGGAAAGGTATGAGATAGGGTTATATTCTTTCACCATACTTGTTCAACCTATATGCTGAGCAAATAATCTGAGAAGCTGGCTTATATGAAGAAAAACGTGGCATCAGGATTGGAGGAAGACTTATTAACAGCCTGCGATATGCAGATGATACAACCTTCCTTGCTGAAAGTGAAGAGGACTTAAAATATTTACTGATGAATCTCAAAGAGCACACCCTTTAGTATGGATTGCATCTCAATGTAAAGAAAACAAAAATCCTCACCACTGGGCCAATAAACAACATTCTTATCAATGGAGAAGAGATTGAAGTTATCAAGGACTTCATTCTTCTTCGATCAACCATCAACACTCATGGAAGCAGCAGTCAAGAAATCAAACGATGTATTGCATTAGGCAAATTTGCTGCACGAGAACTTTTTAAAGTGTTGAAGAGCAAAGACGTCAGCTTGAGGAATAAGGTGCGCCTGACACAAGCTATGGTATTTTCAATAACCTCATATGCATGCGAAAGCTGGACAGTGAATAAAGAAGACCATAGAAGAATTGATGCTTTTGAGTTATGGTGTTGGAGGAGAATATTGAAAGTGCCATGGGCTGCTGAAAGAATCAACAGATCTGTGTTGGAAGAAATGCAGCCAGAGTGCTCCTTGGAGACCAGGATGACCAAACTTCATCTATCATACTTCGGACATATTGTCAGGAGGGACCAGTCGCTGGAGAAGGATATCAATGGGCACAAGCATGGCAACGATAGTGAAACTGACTTTGCAGTCCAGCGTATTAACCCACAGCACCACACCAGGACGTCCTAAAGACTGCAGTCACGAAATGCTTAAGGAACAGCTCTACTCTGTAACATGGGGATATCACAATTTGGAATTGACTTGACAGCAACAGTTAATTGTGTGTTTGTATTTGTTTAAACGCATTTAATATTTTACCCCAATGCACTAGAAATGCTCATAAGAACAGAACCTTTGTTTCTGGTTGCTTTATTATTTTTTTTTCTCCAATAGTTTAAGGAAAAAGTGAAAAAATCCTTTGTAGAAAATCTCATCTAACCTAAACCTTGTTTTGTGTTGTTTTAGGTATAAAATCTTAGACTTGGCATATTTTATAGTCCCTCCATTAAAAGATAAAGTCTGTATCTCTAAGTTACTCAGGACTCATTCTGCACGGCATGGAAAAAGCCAAGTTATTTTCAATTGCCTCATATGCATTTGAAATATGGACAATGTATAAGGAAGATGAAAGAAGGACTGATACATTTGAGTTATGGTGTTGCAAAGAATATCGAATATATCATGGACTGCCAGAAGAACAAACAAATCTGTCTTGGAAAAATTATAACCAAAATGCTAGAGGAGTACATGAAGACATGTACTTTGGACATGTTAGCAGGAAGGACCATTCTCCAGAGAACATCATGCTTGGTAGAGTAGAGGATAATTGAAGAGTTCCAATGAAATGGATTGACCCAGTGACTGTAATAATGGACTCAAACCACAATGATAGTGAGGATGGCACAGGGCTGGGAAGTGTGTCATTCTGTTGTACACAGGGCCATTCTGAATCAGGACTGACTTGACAGCATCTAATAAGAACAACCACAAAATAAAACTCCTTACGAAAGAGACAGCATAGATTAAGTGTATATTGCAGAGGCAAGGGACTCCTGCTGTGGTTCTGTAGGATCAGCACTGTGCTGCGAACCACAGGTTGACAGTTCAAACCCACCGGCTTCTCCCTGGAAACCCTCTACAGGGTCACTATGAGTCGAAAATGACTAGATGGCACTTAACAACAACAACAGAGGCAAGAGAATGTGTTGTGTTAAAGCGGCGTGAGGTTAGGTGAGAAGGTTTGATACTTAGGATCTGGCGCCCCATTGCAGCTTACACACTTTCCTTAGAGAAGAGGGGAGGGGAAAGGTGTGTTCCTAGGCGTGAATCAATTCATATAGTGGAAAATCAAAATGAAATAGGTATGAATGTAAGTCTTCTGTTCTCTTAATATTCAAATAGTCATTCCTATTTTCCTTTGGGAGTCCTGGTGTGGCGCTGTAGGATAAGCACTAGACCTCAAAGTTGGTTTGGACTGTGAGGTCGGTGGTTCAAGCTCACCAGCTACTCCATGGAAACCCAGTACAGGATCGCTATGAATTGGAACCAGCTCCATGGCATGCAACAAAAATTAAACTGGACTTGAATAACATGTGGTTTGCTTAACTTAAGGAAATAAGACCACCGATTAAGATAAGTTCCCCATTGGAATGTGTCTTCTTGTTTAAGATCCCTTTAAAATACATTTTCAAAATGTATTACAATTTTTCATACAATTGATACATGGTCCACTTTTTCAAAGACTTTGATTCAATATTTGAATGCAATGGCATTTGTTACTGTTAGTATAGGATATTTAAACTTAAAAAGAAAAGACCTTAATTTGTTTATGCATAAGCCCATTAAAAACATTTCTAGGGGCTCTTGCTATGTTTATTTTCTAGAACATAACCTATCTTTGAAGTGGTATATTAGTTTTTAAAAAAGTCATTCACACACTGAATAATTAGGGCCTGAAAACAAAAGCGATTCAAGAGTAGATTCCACATAGAAAGCTACGTACACGATGCTTTGATTCAAATAATATTCCTATAAAACTTTGTTATTGTTTGAGGCTTACATTAAGAGTGGCAACTTCTGTTTTTGATGATTATTCCAGTTTGAAACAATTTCCCCCCTACCCAATTAGACCAGAATTAGGAGCACATTTATAGCTGATGAGGCTAAACTTCTCAATGCACCCAATTCAGAAATGAAGACCTTGAGTAGTTTTGTTCATTTTGTCTGTGTGTAGAAAGCTAAAAAGAAATCAAAAGCAATTCCCTTCCGTGTTTTCTGGAATAGGAGGGTTACTTTTGTTGCTTTGATCTTAGCTTGTTGTGTATTTTTTATTGGCTGTTGAATATAAGACACTGTAGCCTCATCTGGCTTTTCTGCCATATTCTCATATTATAAATCACATAATGCCTTCCAATCTAAATTAAAATGCTTAGGTCCAAAATATGATTTCAAAATCGATTTATCAATAAAACAGATTGATTTTCAGGGTATTAGAAACTTATGCAGTGGCTTGATGAACATTCCACAGACTATTAAACATATAGTGAGGTACTTTAGACAAGGAATTCCTGGATACCGACATACACCCATGCTATTTTAGGTTCCTTTTTCTACCAATGCAAGTGACGGTTTTAGCTAATGTAACAGCTGGCTAGGTTATTGCTTCTACAATATAATCCATAATGCAAAAGCTGCTCTTTCCCAAACATTTTAGAGGAGCTAAGATAGTTTGCATGCCTCTGTGAGGTGATTTACCTATGAATTTGTGTCAATTGGTATCGTACTATCTGGTATATCTTCATTAAATTAAGATACCTGTACTTAGCTAAGTATCTCTGACATAGAAAGTGATAGTAAAATTACAGTAGCTGATTTGAGACCATCATCATTAAGTAAATACATGGTTTTAGAAAATAATTGCAAACTACAAAAATGGCATAGTATAATTAAACATCAAATAGTCCAAGTAATAGAAGTCATAGATTAACTGCCTCTCTGTTCTGGTGAGATCCTTTAAATACTGTCTAACAACTTGAACATTGGTTCTTTCATCAGAAGAGTGTCTGTCCTTAAAGTTTGGAAACTTCAGCTCTTTTGGAGCGCCAATCAGCTGTAAAAAGTAATTGGCATCATCTTCCAAAGTTTCAAATTTTCCTACAAAATCATAGTTGATCAAGCATGGATAGCAGAGTTTGCTGACCTTTTCCCAGTGAATATCCATTCCTACTGGTCGGTGGGAATCTAGCAAATAGTGGATGAATTCTCTGAATTTGACTCCAGATCCATTATTTAATGCTTCTTCACAGGCATTTGGTCGATATTTCTTTATTATGGCCTTCCCAAATACTGGATGGTAATAACTATTGGGGTGTTCAAATTTGTCCCTAAATGCGGACACTAATCTTTCCATGGGATCACGAACAAACACAGCTTTGGTGTAGGTATTTAAGCGAGTATATATTCCTTTTAAGTCAAAGCTATCTAGCTTTTTCAAGTGCTTTCCATAGTGGACAGCATCATGGGAGATGTTGTGGGCAGAGGAGGCCAATCCATTGAGTACCATCAGAATTCTTTTCCAATTGGAACAGCCAGCCTTTGGTACTTCACAATACAAGATTCTGTGCTTATCTTCTACATAGATCCTGGATACCATATGAAAAAGATGTGATTGGGGATGACTCACCCCACCATATTTCTTGCAAAACTCTTGAAGAAAAGCCCTTCGTTTTTCTTGGGTTGCGTCAGTGTTGTTTTTCACTAAACTTTTATTTAAAGGACTCATTTTCAATGGCCAGTTCAGTTCACTGAACTTCCTGAAAAGTGTCTTAGTTTCTTGATGTTTTTCAGTCAGCTTATTTGTTGATGCCCTTGTGGTCTTACCCAAAGCTTGATGCTCTTGTAAGTGGATGCTCCCTGTTAAGACTCTGGTAGGCTTCTCAGAGTTGACTAGAAACTTTTCCTTTTTTGTTTTTGGATCTTCAGGCACGTGGAATCTGGGGTTCTGTTAAAATAGAGAAGAAAGGTTGGAAGCATATTCATAAATTTGGTTATATAAGATAAGGAATTTAACATATTTATTGGAAAACACTGTCAAGGAGAACATATTTTACATATGCTGCCAGAACGGTTTAACAATTCATGCTAAGGATACATTTTATAGTATGCTTCTTCATGGAAAACACAGCAATGAAAAAGGATGTCAGTTAGATGGAAGAAAGGCCCCTGGGTTGCCGGTAACTCTGTAGAATGTAACTCTACTGTTCTGCAGGCCAATGGTTCTTGATCTATTAAGGAATGTGTTATCTTCAATACTGACTTAGTACATCTGAATCTAGATAGAAAATTTAATGTTTGGGTTGAATCTTGCTGTTGTTTTTGGGGTCACTCTGAAATGCACAAAACTGTTCAAAATCATAAATTACATAAGTCATAACAAGGTTAAACAAAGTTCTGGTAACCATTTCAGTTTTCTAAGCATTTATAAAAAGTGCTGTACTTTTCTCTTAGAAAATGCTCTATTTTTCTAAATCCATTTATGATAATAATTTAAGAATTATAAACATAATGACACAAAATTTCATTAATCTTTCTCAAGTGAAGAAAGAAAAGTCTACTTTATGTCCTGTTACATAAAATTACATCAAAATTAGAAATGAGAATTTAATTCTCTTGCCAGAAGAATGAATCAACCCCTCTACCTGTACTGTTCATCTGATTATAGCCCATGGGTTAATGTGCCAGACTGCAAAGCCGTTTGAACTGCAAGGTCAGCAATACAAGCTCACCAGCTGCTCCTCGGAAATCCTATACAAGATCACTATTGGTCAGAACTGACTCGACAGCACTTAAAAACAACAACAACAAAAACTCTTACTGTGTCTATACAAAGGAAGAAATGGAAGATGGAGTTTATAAAGTTAGGATGTGGCTTTCAAGGAACCCTGGTAACATAGTGGATAAGGAACTTGGCTGCTAATTGAAAGGTCAGCAGTTCAAATCTACCAGTTGCTCGGTGGGAGAAAGATGAGGTTTTCTGCTCCTGAAAGATTTACAGCCTCTGAAACCCTACGTAGGGTCCCTATGAATTGGAACTGATTTGACGGCACACAACCAACCAACCATGTGGCTTCCAAGGTGATATTTTGTCTTCTGATAAGGACAAAAGCGCTAAAGACTTTGGTTTTTATTCTGGGCAAAGTAACTACAGAGCCTTTGGAGAGTTCTAAGCTGAGTACTGACATGATCTGACTGAGATTTGAAAAGGATGAGTGTGGAGGAGACTGGAATAGACATACACATATGGGGTTATCAGCACATCACTGGACCAACTGATAAACAAATGATGTGTTGTGAAGATAACACATGTGTCACCAGTCTAGAAGTGAGAAGAATAGTGGGGGAAACTTCCTCAAAGATTAAAAAACCATTTTTGCTATGGTATTCCTAGGTGGCACAGGACCACGCAGTGTTTCGTCCTGTTGTTCAAAGGATTGCTACGAGTTAGAACAGACAGGACGTAACCTAGCAACAACATCCCCAGTGCTGAGAATACAATGTTGCTACTTGAGTTGAGTTGCCTTTGATTCATAGCGACCCTATATACAAGAGAACAAAATAATGTCCAGTCCTACATTATCCATTGTTGCAAAGACTGTGTCAATTCATCTTGGTGGGGTCTTCCTCTATTTTCACTGACCCTGTACTTTACCACGCATGATGTCCTTCTCCAAGGACTCATCCTTCCTGATAACAAGTCCAAAGTGCATGAGACAAAGTCTAGCCATTCTCACTTCTAAGGAGCATTCTGATTATATGTCTTCCAACACAAATTTGCTCATTCTTCTTGGAGTCCATAGTACATTCAATATTCATTGCCAACATCATAATTCAGGCATCAATCCATCTTTGGTCTTCCATATTCATTGTTTAGCTTTCACATGCATATGGGTCAGGTGCACCCTAGTCCTCAAAGTGACATCTTGTTGCTCTTCAACATTTTAAAGAGGTATTTGCAGATTTGTCCAGTGAAGCATATCATTTTATTTCTTGACTGCTGCTTTCATGGGTGTTGATTGTGGATACAAGTAAAATAAAATACTTCTCCATTTATTATGATGCTGCTTACTGATCCACTTGTGTGAATTTTTTGCTTTCTTCATGCTGAGGTGAAATTTACACTGATTTTAAGTCATCTTCATGTCATCTTCACTTTCAGCAAGCAAGGCTGTGTCATCTGCAAATCACAGGTTATTAATAAGTCTTCCCCCAATCCTGCTACTATGTTCTTCTTTGTACTGTCCAGCTTTCTGGAATACTTGCTCAGCATAGAAATTAAGTAACTATGAAAAAGGAATACAACCCTGACACACACTTTTCCTGATTTTAAACCATGCAGTATCCCTTGTTTTGTTCAAATGACTACCTCTTGGTCTATTTATAATTTGCACATAAGCACAACTAAATGTTCTGGAATTTCCATGATCCATAATCTTATCCATAATTTGATATGATTCACATACTTGAGTGACTTTGTGTAGTCAAAAGATTTTACACAAAATAAATTTACTTGAGTAAATCTCTGCTTTCAGTCAAATTCCATGTGACATCAGCCATGATAACCCATGGTCTATATTCTCTTTTAAACCTGGCTTGGATTTCTAGAGATTGCCTCTATGTACTGCTGCAGCTGTTTTGAGTGATCTTCAGCTAAATTTTTCTTGAATGTGATAGCAATAATATTGTTCTATAATTTCTGCACTCTGTTGGTTCACCTTTTTTTTGGAATGGACACAAATATGGATCTCTTCCAGCCGGTTGGCCAAGTAGCTGTTTTCCAAATTTCTTGGCATAGAGAAATGAGCACCTCTAGCATGGTGTCCACTTGTTGTAACATTTCAGTTGGTATTCCACCGGTTCCTGAAGACTTGCTTTGCATCAATGCTTTCAGTGTGGCTTAGACGTCTTCCTTCAATCTAATCAATACTTGATCATATGCTACTTCCAATCTTATGGTATTATTGTTATTGTTAAGTGCCATTGAGTCAGTTCAGACCCATAGCACCCTGTATAGGGTTTCTGAGGAGTGGCTGGTGAGCTTGAACCACTGACCTTGAGGTTCAAACTGACTCTCCATATTAAGCCACAGTGCCACACCAGGATTTTTCTCATCTTATTTTGATGCTTCTTTCATCTTTCAATATTTTGCTCCTAGTTGTTATTAAGTGCTGTCAAGTTGGTTCCAAGTCATAGTGATCCTGTATAGAGTTTCCAAGGAGTAGCTGATGGATTTGAACCACCGACCTGTGGTTAACAGTTCAGTGCTTATCCTATAGCACCACACCAGACCACTCCTATAATTTTTTGCCCATGGAATCCTTCAGTATTGCAACTCAATACTTGAATTTTATCTTCAGTTTTTTCAGCCTGAGAAAATGTTGAGTGTGTTCTTCCCTTTTGGTCTTTTAACTCCAGGTCTTTGCACATTTCACTATAATATTTTACTGTGTTTTCTCGAGCTGCCCTTTGAAATCTTATGTTCAGTTCTTTTACGTCATCATTTCTTCTGCTTGCTTAGTTTCAGAGCCTCTTCTGACATTTACTATAGTCTTATCTTATTGTCCTGTCTTTCTGATGACATTTTGGTTCCTTCATGTCTGATGTCCTTGATGTCATCATACAACGTGTCTAGTCTTTGACCATCAGTATTCAATTGCATCAAATCTATTCTTAAGATCATATGTAAATTCAGGTGTGATATATTCAAGGTTATACTTTGGCTTTAGAGGACTTGTTATAATTTTCTTTAGCTTCAAGCTGAAGTTGAACGAATGTCAATTTTATAGTTGGCCCTACATCTTGCTCTGATTGATGATGCTGAGTTTCTCTCTTTTCAGGGATGTAATCAGATTCCTGTGTATTCCATCTGGCAAGATCCACATGTCTAGTCACCATTTATATTGTTGATATAAAGGTATTTGCAATGAATATGTCATTAGTCTTGCAAAAATCTCTCATGCACTCTCTATCATCATTTCTGCTACTAAGCCATATTTTCCATCTACTGATCCTTTTTTGTTTCCAACTTTTGCAGTGCAACACTAGTAATTACCAATGCATCTTGATTGCATATTTGGTCCATTTTAGACTGCAGAAGTTGGTAAAAATCTTCAGTTTTCTTCATCTTTGTAATTAGTGATTGGTGCATAAATTTGGATAGTAGTTATATTAACAGGTCTTCCTTGTAGATGTATGGATATTATCCCATTAATGACATCATTGTACTTCAAGGTAGATCTTGATATGCTTTCTTTTTGACAATGGATGTGATGCTTTTCCTCATTAATTTTGTACCCTCAGCATAGTAGATCATATGATTATCCTGTTTAAAATGGCCAATGTCAGTCCATTTCAGCTCACTAAGGTATAGGATTTTGACCTTTATGCATTTCATTTCATTATGGAGATTTCAAATTTTCTTAGATTCATACTTCATATATTCTATGTTCTGATTATTAATGATTGTTTGTAGTTGTTTCTCCACATTTTGAGTGATGCCACACCAGTAAATGAAGGTCCCCAAATTATACTCCATCCATGTCGTATTTTGATTGGCTTTTAACCTAAGGGATTCCTCTTCTAATATGAAATCAGAGAATGTTCTGCTGATGTCCTTAGGTTTTCATGGACATTTTTTAAAAAATTTAGATTCCCAGGTCTTTCTTCCTAGTCTGACTGACTTTTGAAGCTCTTCTGAAACCTGTCCACTGTGGGTGACTCATTAGTAGTTGAAATATATGTAGAGCACATAATACTTTCAAAATGTTGAATGAATGAATGAATAAAAGAAATTAAGTCTTGATAGATAATTTAAAATTTTTTCCAGATTAGCGGTATAGATTAGAGTTGGAAAAGGCATTCTTAGCAAAAGGCACAGAAAAAAAAGCAAAAGAGCAGAGGAATGAAGCAATAAAGTGTGACAGCATCATGGTTCTATTGGCTAAG